CTGATATTTCTCTTTCAGGTCTCTGTGGTCTCTCTCTTTGGTATCTCTCTTTGGTGTCTCTCTCTGTGGTCTCTCTCTCTCTCTTTCTCTGGTCTCTCTCTGGTCCCTCTCATTGGTATCTCTCTTTCTGGTCTCTCTCTCTGGTCTCTCTCTTTGGTATCTCTCTTTCTGATCTCTCTCTGGTCTCTCTTTGGTCTCTCGCTCTCTGGTCTCTCTCTCTAGTCTCTCTCTGGTCTCTCTCTGGCTTCTCTCTGATCTCTCTCTTGGTCTCTCTCTCTGGTCTTTCTTCTTGGTATGTCTCACTCTTGTTAGTCTCTCTCTGGTCTCTTTCTATTCTCTCTCTGGACTCTCTCTAGTCTCTCTGGCCTCAGGCGGTTTGAGTTTACTATCACTGTCCTTGAATTATTCACAGACTGTAATCTGTACCATGAATATTTATCTCAATAAAACATAACACTGTATTTTAGGACTCACTGGATCTCGTTCACCATATACAGTATTTACACTTGCTTCTTTAAAAGACTAAAGATTATGATTATAGGGCTGGAAAACGGAAGTGCGAGATTTTGGGAGATTTCCACCTATAGATACAAACAAACCACACGTGCCAGTTGTGTGGTGCGGAGATCGACCGACTTCTTCCTCCTTAATGGATTTTTCTGTGTTGTTTTGGACACATTTCGTCTCTGGGACAGAAAAACTGAGTGGGCGGTCGGAATTAGCTGTGAACTCTGGCCATGTCCTGAAGTTTCTATATGACGGGGAGATGAGAACGGTGCAGGGCCGTGTTCAAACTCATTATTTTTTAATCCACTATTATGCATCAGAAAGAAAATATAGAACCACTATTCCCATGAAAATAAAAAGATGTTGTCCCACAGCTGTCTTTGCTGCTTTGGTTAAATGCTAATGTATATGAACGATCAGTTTTCTATCTGTACATTAGCTCCATCTCCACTTCACACTCATACAGCTTCACATTGGGCCTTTTTCCTTTTTCCTGTTCATTTAATACTAATATTATGATTTTCCGTTTTCTGTTATATTTGAACATTTGTTAAATGTTTTTTTATATGTATTGTTCCTCCTTTATCTCTCAAATAAATAAAAACAAGCCACAATTAAAGGCTCGGCCGCGCACTATTTACAGGTTAGCATTAGCTACAAGTTAGCTTGAAAACATATTCAAGTTAACCGTCTGTAAAATCAGACAACATATTGTATCAGAACTGCATAGCTTTTCCCACAGCTTCAGTTGGTCTTTAAAAAAAACAATCATGCATCGCGTAAACGTTGATGATTACAGCCGAAAACAAAGCAGAGCATTTTGCACCATTCACTTAAACCGCCTCTGCGAACAGCTGGGGGTTTGTTTGTATCCGAGCAAAGAACCAGACGTGCTTCTGGGGCGAGACTTTCCAGCCCTATACACTTCCTCGTCCGGTCAAAGTGAACCTGACCAACACGTCTGTCCTGAGCTCGTTCTAAACACTCGATTCCCAGAAATATGAAACGGCAAGGACTCGCAGAGCAGAGCAGAGCAGAGCACTGCTATTAAGCAACTTGTAGTTTAAAAAACAAAAAGAACATCAGCTTCTCGCTCTGCCTTTCCTTCATTATTGACATTAGCAGCGCAGAAACTGTACTAAAGCAGACACAATGTTACAGAGATGGACTCTCTCGGGACCATAGAGACTTGAACAGAACTTCTAGACCAGGTATGTCAAACTCAGGCCCGTGGGCCAAATGCGGCCCCTGAAACGATTTGCAATTATCTTTATTGCAACATTTATGATAAGGGACGCCTATGGCACGTTGTCTTTCATAATAAAGCTTATTGTCTCAGGGAAAGAACCATGTCATTGAATATGTTCAAAAATGTGAACTAAAATGTAGTTAGAAGTTATAGTTACATTTATTTGTTTAAACTATCAGTCTTCCAATACTCTGCTTTAGTCTTTATCACATTACATACACGCATCTTAATAAAAAGTTTAGCCATGTCTGACTTGACTGTTTGGGCACTGTTTGGGCATCTTTAGCAGTCTCCCTTTATTTGCACAGACAGCTTTCTAATATCATATTTTAGTGCTCAAAAAAGGGCATATTCGAGAGCTTTGTAATGTCAAATTGTTCTAAATATTTTTCTGTTCTAAATCCTATGGGAAGCTACATGGAAAAGGGTTGGCGAGCTACTGGTGGCTTCCAAGCAATAAGTTTGAGACCCTTGTTCTCAATGGACTCAATTAGAACTTGGGGACTCAACAGCGCTTGCCGATGGACTCTTCGACCTTAGAGACTCAACAGCACTTACCGATGGACTCTCTTGGACCTTTATAGATTCAACAGTGCTTATATATGGACTCTCTTAGACCTTAATAGACTCAACACTGCTTACCGATGGACTCTCTTAGACCTCGGGGACCCAACAGTGCTTAAAGATGGACTCTCTTAGACCTTGGGGACTAAACAGGGTTTCTAGATTTACTCACTTAGGCCTTAAAGACTCAACAGCGCTTACCGATGGACTCTCTTAGACCTTGGTGACTCAACAGTGCTTAAAGATGGACTCTCTTAGACCTTGGGGACTAAACAGCGCTTGCCGATGGACTCTTCGACCTTAGAGACTCAACAGTGCTTATAGATGGACTCTTCGACCTTAGAGACTCAACGGTGCTTAAAGAGGGACTCTTTTAGACATTAGAGACTCAAACAGTGCTTATCATGGCTCTGGGACAAATGGTGGCTCAGGTGCCGATGGTCTCGACTGCTGCACATGTACTGACCATTGACCATTGACAGTAATGGTCCATTATGTTCAGTAATGTCTCTGTTAGTGTCACTCAGGGATGAATGTGCATCTCACACACACAGAAGCAATGCTGCGGCTCGAATACAGGGTCTGGAGGTTCACAGGAGAAGAATCTAATGTTTATGGACATCGACGAGGTCTTAAGAAACACGAGGCAGATGTGAAGTGTTAATGTGGGGGAGGGAGGTCCCAAAACCCCAAGGTTTTCAGAGAGAAAGAGACCACAGACCAGAGAGAGAGAGAGAGCAGTGAAAGACGACAGAGAGAGACCACAGACCAGAGAGAGACACGAGGGACCAGAGAGAGAAAGAGACCAGTGAAAGGCCACAGACCACAGAGAGGCCAAAAAGAGAGACCAATGAACACAGAGAGAACAGAGAGAGAGAGAGACAAAAAAAAAGAGAACAGAGGGAGGACTAGATAGAGCGAGACCAGAGAGAGACTAGAGAGAGAGACCAGATATAGACCAAAGAGAGAAAGACCAGAGAGAAGCACTAGAAAGAGAAAACAGAGAGAGGGACTAGAAAGCGAGACCGAGAAAGACCGAGAGTAAGCAAGAGAGACCAGAGAGAGAGACCCACGAGAGAGACCAGAGAGGCACTACAGAGAGAGAGACCAGAGACCGCTTGTCCATGTGGAGATGGGTTTAAGCTAGCATTACTCTATCCAGGTAATATAAAATTTCCATGTTAAGACAGTTACTAAGGCAAGCTCGAGTTTCTCCTGCAAATGAAGGCCTCTGATTGGACAATCCTTATATGGCTCATATCTGGATTTACAAAGACAATATCACAGTTTAAACACCAGGATGACAGAGAGCAATAAACCAGGTATTTAAATGGTGAGTGTGACACAAACAGTTACTGAGCTAGAGGAGTTTACTTTTACATAAGAAGCCAAAAGGAGCCAGAGAGTTGGAGGTTGTATAGAATTGCATAGTTCATTATTGTTGCCTCCCCCTGTTGTTGCGGCGAGCATTGCTTGTTGTGTGTGGTGCAGTACCGCGCAGGGGGCAGCAGTGAGCACACACAGGACAGAGGACAGGCCGCTCTGAAGCCGTGCGGGACAGTCCCACGCAACACAAACACATAAAGAGAACCACATGTGCTTGGATCAGTGGACAGAGCAGTGAGGGACAGGCCAACACATACACAGGCATGGAGCTGAGGACCCTTCTGCTGTGAGGCTGACCACAAGCACCAGAAACACCACAGCCAATCACCTCATGAGGACGTCCAGCTAAAGAACCGGACCACCAACGACAGTCTGTATGTGTTAATGTATGTGTGTGTATGGGTTTGCATGTTCTCCCAGTTGTAAGATTAAAGTCTTATAAAGTTGCTATATTTGTTACTGGCCTCCTGCTGAGACTCTGAGGAGCACAGGGACTGGCCTCCTGCTGGGACTCTGAGGAGCACAGGGACTAGCCTCCTGCTGGGACTCTGAGGAGCACAGGGACTAGACTCCTGCTGGGACTCTGAGGAGCACAGGGACTGGCCTCCTGCTGGGACTCTGAGGAGCACAGGAACTAGCCTCCTGCTGGGACTCTGAGGAGCACAGGGACTGGCCTCCGGCTGGGACTCTGAGGAGCACAGGGACTGGCCTCCTGCTGGGACTCTGAGGAGCACAGGGACTAGCCTCCTGCTGGGACTCTGAGGAGCACAGGGACTGGCCTCCTGCTGGGACTCTGAGGAGCACAGGGACTGGCCTCCTGCTGGGACTCTGAGGAGCACAGGGACTGGCCTCCTGCTGATCCTAGAGTCAGGACTAAACATGGGGAAGCAGAGTTTCAGATTTTTCTGGATCTACAGCCTCAGTCCTGGATCTGCAGCCTGTCTGTTGGTTTCTCACATTCTCCCACTGTTTTGTTGTTGTTTTTGAGTGGTTCCTCTCTGATGCATCAGGGTCTAAGGACAGGGTTGATCCGGGACATTCACTAACATTTCTGGACAGTGGTCATCCCGCTCCTTTTGGACCAATGGCTCTCATGTGTTTGTTATTATTCCATTTATCGTTTGATTCTCTGATCTGTTGTTGGCAAATCAACTTCTTTGTAAAAACGGTGGAGATGGGACGTTGGTCATGAGGAATTGACTAAAAGCGTATGTTTGGATATGTGGTCCTTAACATGTATTGAAGGCACATTATCATGAGGTGATTGGTTCCTGGCTCGGCAACACAGCAGAATTCAGACGTCCGTGAGAGGACAGTGGTCCAGCCCCCAAACCGTGCCTCCGCCGTGAGGCTTACCGATGGTGGCTGTGTGTTTGGGGCTGGAGGGCGCCCCCTGCTGGGGAAAAGAGTGAGGCAAAGTCCCAGCTGCGGAGAAAACAGAGCCGACAAACTGAAGCACAAGACTCCAGAGACAGAGGCAGAAGTTTGGAAAGGACAGAAGAGAGAGGGGAGAGAGAGGACAGGAGAGAGAGAAAGGAGAGACAGAGAAGATGAGAGAGAGAGTACAGGAGAGAGAAAAGAGAGAGAGAGAGAGAGAGGAGAGACAGAGGAGAGACATAGGAGAGAGGACAGGAGAGAGAGCCCAGGATAGAGAGAACAGGAGAGAGAGAACAGGAGAGAGGGAGGCCAGAGAATGAGAGAGCAGGCCGTATGCAGGACTCTTAAACAAGACCAGTGCGATAATGGCTGGACTTTAAACAACATTTTTCATAAATGTTTGAATAAGTTCTTTCCAACTTTCTCTGACCACGGACACAGAGTGAACATCAGTGTTTCTTTGGTGATTCCATTTCATTTTTATAAAAAAAAATAATGTACTCCACTACTTTATGAGTAGAAGTTGGTACAGGAGAATGTGAGTCCAACTGGTTTCAGAAAAGGCCAGTGTGGAAGTAGGGTTTGATTCCAACTAGAGAGAGAGAAAAAAACCGTGCAGAGACCAGAGAGAGATAGAACAGAGAGACACCAAAGAGAGAGAGAGACCAGAGGGGGACCAGAGGGAGACCAGAGAGACAACAGAGAGACCCCAGGCCGAGGGACCAACGAGAGATACCGGAGAGACACCAAATTCCAATTTCCTCAAGTCCGCAAGTGTAGGACTGGACTCACATGAGGAAATGGGTGGAATCTGGTGTGCTCCTGCTTGGTTAGAATGAAAACCTGCAGCCACACCAGCCCTTTGAGGACCAGTTTTACACACCTGGTTTAGAAATACACATGACATGAACCAGAGTCGTGCGTACGGCTTGAGAGAGGACAGAGCAGAGAGAGGAGACAGAAGCTGAAAACAATACGTTGTAACATTGGCGTAAGAAAAATGGACCAAAGAAGCAACTTGATTTCAGTTCAGAAACTCAAACAAAAAGCACATCTATAACAGTTCAAAACATACATTCGATTTCAATGGTTTTCCACCGGCCCGACTCGGCTCTACTCTACCTGCTTGTGTTTCCATATACCCACAACAAACCAGTATCCGAGGAAATTCCTTGGTAACCATGGCTTCCAGCAGCACTCTGGCCAATCCCTGTCAGTTAGAAATCCCTAGTACCAGCTCAGTCTGGATAGAACCAGGACCAAGAGGGACTAAAGAAGGACCTGGTACTGGTTACACAGGACCAGAGGAAACACTCCCAATCAGGGGAGAGTAGAGTAGAGTAGAGTAGAGTAGGGTGGAGTACAGTAGAGTAGGGTGGAGTAGAGCAGAGCAGAGTGGAGTAGAGCAGGGCAGAGTGGAGTAGAGTAGATAAGAGTAGAGTAGAGTAGAGTAGAGTAGGGTGGAGTAGAGTAGAGTAGAGTAGAGTAGAGTAGAGTAGAGTAGAGTAGAGTAGAGTAGAGTAGAGTAGAGTAGAGTAGAGTAGAGCAGGGCTGGTGGAAACAGGGCTTTAATCATTCGTTAAAAACCAGTGAGAGACATTATTAACTGTAGTAATTACTGTGAAGAGAGCGAGACCAAAGCCTCTAAACAAAGATCCAGTTTCCAGAGACACGGGCCATAATTAGATCCAGTGCAACATGGTCCTCTGAGAATCCCCTCGTCTTATCTGGCAACGCGAGGCCCTGGCAGCAGACCTGGCGCCCGAGGTGGGATGTGTTTGTTGTGAGTGCGAGGCAGAGAGCGAAACTGTACAAGGCGACAATTAGCATCGCCTCCGTCGGGATGTGGAGCCAGTGAAAGAATTCTGTCTGCTTTTCTGGTATCGAGGAACGATCTCTACCAGAGAACGATGGTCACTGGACTCTGAATACATGTGATGTTTATGAAAAATACAGAAGATCAAAGAAGAAGAGTGAGATGTGACTGTGTGAATGGACTCATAATTATTAGAGAGAGAGAGAGAGAGAGACACCAGTGAGAGAGACCAGAGATAGAGACAAAAGAGAGAAAGACCAGAGGGACCAGAGAGAAAGACCAGAGAGAGAGACCAGAGAGAGAAAGACCAGAGAGAGAGACCAGAGAGAGAAAGACCAGTGAGAGACTAGAAAGAGACTAGACAGAAACCAAAGAAGGAGAGACCAGAGATACCAGAGAGAGAGACCAGAGAGAGAAAAATCGGTGAGAGATTAGAAAGAGACCAGAGAAAGAGCAGAGAGAGAGGGAGAGATCAGATATAGACACAAAAGAGAGAAAGACCAGAGACCAGAGAGAGAGAGATCAGAGAGAGAGAAAGACCAGTGAGGGATTAGAAAGAGACCAAAGAGGGAGAGACCAGAGAAAGAGCAGAGAGAGGGAGAGACCAGAGATAGACTCAAAAGAGAGAAGGACCAGAAAGACCAGAGAGAGAAAGACCGGTGAGAGATTAGAAAGGGACCAAAGAGGGAGAGACCAGAAATAGACACAAAAGAGAGAAAGACCAGAGAGACCAGAGAGAGAGAGACCATAGAGAGAAAGACCAGTGAGAGATTAGAGAGACCAGAGAGAACGGCCAAAGAGAGAGACAGAGATAGAGAGATAGACCAGACGGATACATTTCAGTGAGAGACCAGAGAGACGGAGAGAATAAAGAGAAAGAGAGTCCAGAGAGAGACCCGATTTAGGTTTATCTCCTGTTTTATTGTGTAACTGGACTCACTGCGGTTGTCTTTGCTCGGTAGGACAGGTGTGTACATGTTCTTGGTTGTGCGTCCGTCTGGTGCCGTGCCGCTGCTGAGGAGTGTGTTGTTCCTCTCTCCGGGCTGAACAGGACTGGACTGGTGCCTCAAGATGTCAACCAGAGACCTGAGAGAGAGCAGAGACGGTAATGAGAGAGAGACCAGAGTGAGAGCAATGAGAGAGCAGAGAGAGACCAATGAGAGAGAGAGACCTAAGCAAGACCAATGAGAGAGAAACTAATGAAAGAGAGCCATGAGAGACCTGAGAGAGACCTGAGATAGACCTGAGAGAGAGACCAATGAGAGAGAGACCTGAGAGAGACCAATGAGAGAGACCTGAGAGAGACCAATGAGAGAGAGAACTGAGAGAGACCAATGAGAGAGAGAACTGAGAGAGACCTGAGAGAGACCAATGAGAGAGAGACCTGAGAGAGACCAATGAGAGAGTGACCTGAGAGAGACCTGAGAGAGAGAACTGAGAGAGACCAATGCGAGAGTGACCTGAGAGAGACCCGAGAGAGAGAACTGAGAGAGACCAATGAGAGAGTGACCTGAGAGAGACCTGAGAGAGAGACCTGAGAGAGAGACCTGAGAGAGACCTGACAGACCAATAAGTGAATAAATGAAAGAGACCAACGAGAGACCTGAGAGGGACCAATGAGAGAGAGACCTGAGAGAGACTAGAGAGAGAGACCCATGAGAGACCAGATTTAGACTAAAAAGATCCTGAGAAATACCAGAGAGAGACTAGAGAGAGATCAGAAAGAGAAACATGAGAGAGACCAGAGAGAGAGAGATCAGAAAGAGAAACATGAGAGAGACCAGAGAGAGAGAGAGAGATCAGAAAGAGAAACATTAAAGTGACCAGAGAGAGACCAGAAAGAGACTGGAGAGAGACCAGCTGCACAGGGCTGGTGCCTCAGGATGTCCAGAGACCACACACAGAAACAGAGCGACAACAACAGAATGACACTGTTGCGAAACAATGAGATAAATGAATGCATGAATGATATTATAGCCTTTGTCAGCAGGGAATTACACTCCCCAAAGGCACAGACTCTGAGTAAAAGAGTGGAGAGCAGAGAGAGAGCGAGAGAGAGAGAGAGCAGAGAGAGAAATAGATCAGAAAGAAAGCAGGAAGAGAGCAGAGAAAGAGCATAGAGAGACCAGAGAGAGAGACCACAGAGATAGAGCAGAGAGTGAGCAGAGAGAAAGAGAGAGAACACAGAGAGAGCAGAGAAGAGAGCAAAGCAGAGAGAGACACCAGAGAGAGAGAGACCAGAGAGAGCAGAGAGAGACCAGAGAGAGAGCAGAGAGAGAGCAGAGGGACCAGAGAGAGACCAGAGAGAGCAGAGAGAGATCAGAGAGAGAGCAGAGAGAGAGCAGAGGGACCAGAGAGAGAGCAGAGAGACTAGAAAGAGACCAGAGAGGGAGCAGAGAGAGAGAGACTAGAGAGCAGCAGAGAGAGACCAGAGAGAGAGGCCAGGTGGTGTGTGTTGGAGTCTGACCTGGGCACGTTGTTGTCCCTGTTCCTTGGTCTTCGAGCCACTTTACTGAAGGCGATCCTCACTCCCACCGCCACCACCAGCGTGAAGGAGATCACGCCGCCGATCACGTACGCCGTGCTGCAACGATACAACGGCAGAACTTTACAGAGAAGAAGGACTGGGATAAACACAAACCCAGGATTATCTTGTCTCTGTGTCTTTTCTCACATTTCACAACAATATGCATTTACTTTCTCTTAATGAAGGTTAAAACATTGAGACCGAAATGATCTCTGTGGGACTGAACACAGGGGATAGGTTCTATAACAACTCAACGGGAAAGAAGGCATTTTTGCAATACATTATAAAATAGATAATGAGAGACATCAGAGAGAGACCGGAGGGAGATCGAAGAGAGAGCACAGAGGGACCAGAGAGAGACCAGAGAGAGATCAGAGAAAGAGCAGAGAGAGAGCACAGAGGGACCAGAGAGAGACTAGAGAGAGATCAGAGAAAGAGCAGAGAGAGAGCACAGAGGGACCAGAGAGAGACCAGAGAGAGATCAGAGAGAGAGCAGAGAGAGAGCACAGAGGGACCAGAGAGAGAGACCTGATAGATAGGCCAAAGAGAGACCTGAGAGGGACCAAAGAGGGAGCGGAGAGAACAGAAAGAGAGAGCAGAGAGAGAGAGCATAGAGAGAGCAGAGAGGTACCAGAGAGAGAGACCAGAGAGAGACCCAGGCGATAGGCCAAAAAAGAGAGACCTGAGAGAAACCAAAGAGGGAGCGGAGAGAACAGAAAGAGAGAGCAGAGAGGTACCAGAGAGAGAGACCAGAGACAGACCCGAGCAATAGGTCAGAGAGAGACCAGAAAGAGACCTGAGAGAGACCAAAGAGGGGGCGGAGAGAACAGAAAGAGAGAGCAAAGCGATAACAGAGAGAGATCAGAAAGAGACCAAAGAAGGAGTGGAGAGAACATAAAGAGAGAACAGAAAGAGAGAGCAGTGAGATAAAAGAGAGAGATCAGAGAGAGACCAAAGAGAGAAATCAGAGAGAGACCAGAGAGAGACCAGAGAGATACCAGAGAAAGACCAGAGAGATAGACCAGAGAGAGACCAGAGAGAGAAACCTCCTCTCACCTGCTGCTCTGTTGCTGCAGGGTCTCGAAGTCCGGGTCGGGGCTGTTCCCTGTGGGCTGGGTGGCCGCCCCCTGCTGTTCCACCCACACGGGAGAGATATAGTTGTTGCAGGCCTCCTGGTCCAGCCGGTCCCTCTGGTGCTCGCAGCAGAAGCGGTAATGACAGGTGCCACAGCAGTAGATGTAACTGCCCCGCGAGCAGTTAAAGGTGGTGTCGAAGTGCCCCATCACGTCGTAGTAACCTCTGGGAACACAACACGGTTTGGGTTTAGCTTTAAGGGTTCTGGGGCAAAAATACAGAACTAAAATAGAAGTTGATTGTGTTTTATGGACTGTAGGCCGCACATGTATGAAAAAGCCATACCAAAGAAAAATTATCTGACAAAGTTCAAATCCAGGTAAAAAAAAAAAAAAAAATTGAATTAGCTGTGCATACTACTGAAGGATTCAACTGATAGATGTCGTTGGTTGTTTTGGAGATTGAGAAAGAGAGCCAGAGAGAGAGTGGGAAGAGAGGGAAAGTAGGGAGAGAGAGATTATAAAGAGAGAGAGACCAGAGAGAGACAAGAGAGGGAGAGGCCAGAGAGAGAGAGGCAAAATAGAGAGAGAGAGAGACCAGAGAGGGAAACTAGGGAGAGAGAGAAACGAGAAAGAGAGAGACTATAGAGAGAGACCAGAGAGAGAGAGTAGTCAGAGAGAGAAAAAGAGAGAGAGACCAGAGATTGGTAGCAGTCAAATGAACATCTTCATATCCATGTTAGACCAATGTGCCGATGGACTTGATGACCTGCAGCTCTGGGCCTGTGTGTGTGTGTGTCTCTCTCTGTCTATGTGTGTGTGTGTGTGTGTGTGTGTGTGTGTGTCTCTCTCTGTCTATGTGTCTGTGTGTCTGTCTATGTGTGTGTGTGTGTGTGTGTTTAGGCCGCCGCATCGGAGCATTGTTTCCATGAGAACGAAGGGCTCTTGTCGTCCAGGCAACAGCAGACGCCTCTCACCAAACCCTCAGATCTGTGTTTAATCTGTGTGTATCAGCGAAGCATCAGCTGCTCCGAAAACACCACAGATCCAGGACTTTTCAACTGTGAATCTTTATATGAGGACGTTGTGTTACTGAGGTTCAGGTTTAAGTTGATCTGTCTCTGACGCAGTGTGTTACTAAAGCCGAGGGATTGGGTCCACAAGAAAGATTTCAGATTTTTTGTGGAAATTAAGATACTTTCTTTGTTGAATTCTACTGATTAAATAGATTTAGTTTGTAAAATTTGTAAAAACAGAAATTTGCAATTGAAAGAAAATAATATTTCAATTCAATGTATTTCTGTAAAGTCTTAAATCACAACAGCAGTGGTCAACAGAAGAGTTAGGACACAGGAAAAACAACGATAACAAACACATAGAGCCATTGGTTCATAGAGTGCAGGGAAAACATGAAGAGAGACCAGAGATTGGCAGGTCCCAAGCCCCAATGATCCAAGATGGCGTCCTGTTCAAATCAAAGACTTGTGCACAGTAGCGCCATGGTCTGCAGTGAACGAGTTCCCATGATGCAATGTGCCAAATACGCGTGTGTGGCCCACATGCACGTGCACAGAGATTGAAAGATTGACCAATCAGAGCTGCTGATCAGAGCGGGAGCTAGAGCGGGCACCAAACAAGCAGAGTTTGTGGCAGTAAAGTGTGGATTTAAAGAAAACCGAAGAATTTAAGAAGAAAAGGTTCAGGGTGATGTGCAACACTAAAATCCCCACAAAATCCAATCTTTATGAAAGCTGTAAGTTCTCTGTCAGCTGAGGTCGCGCTGTTTTAGTTAACATTGAGTTCTATGGAAAACATTTCTGGGTAGCCCACGTGAATTTAGTCTGGTTTAGTCTGCAGTACCGCGAGAATCCCCCGAGCACATGGGTCCTTCAGCTCCAAGCTAGTAATACCCTATCCAGTTATCATAATACTTCCATGAGGTGACCGTACTCTCACCTGCACACGTCCACATCCACCAGCTGGCGAGGGGGAGGAGCCACCTGCGCTGCCCCTAGTGGCGGCTTCAGAGCATCGGCTGCAGTCATGTTTCTCGGGAGCATGGTCTGAGGCAGAGGCTTCGGAGGCAGCTCAGCCACAGCAGGAAGGTCGTCTCCGTCCTCCACCTCAGCCTTCTTCAGAGCCACTTTAGGTCCAGCAGGAGGAGGCAGCATAGGAGGCTTTCGACCAGAGAGGAGGAACAGCAGCGAGCTCTGTTTGGTGTTGGAGGCCTGAGGAGGAGGAGATTCAGATTGGTTGCTGTTTGCAGTAAAACATGCACATTGGAAGATATGTACAAGAGTGGAACCCCATTGTGCGCCCCCCAAGTACATACATAAAACAAGCTAAAAATTACAAGTGTGAAATCGATCATCAAAACAGTTTAAATAACAAATGTATCTTTTATTTAAAATCTGATATTTTACAGGGACTGGCCTCCTGCTGGTCCCCAGAATCAGGACAAAACATGGAGGCAGCTTTTCAGATTCATGCAGCAAAAATACGGAACAGTCTTCCTGAGGTCGTGAGACAGGCCTCTACCCTAACCATGTTTAAAACTAGATTGAAACATGCAGCTGTGAATAATGGAACAAATGGTCTATTCTTAATAAGAGTTTTAAGCCCAATACTTTGAATCTTCCCTGTTTCATATGAGATTGCTAATGATTTGATCCGTTTTTAATACAATTAGATCTGTGCTTTTATACCGCTCTTGTAAAGCAAATGATTTACCTTTTACACAAATCACATTATACTAATAAATATTGTTGTTGTATTCAACCTAAGTGTTGCTGATTTCGTCCTTGTTCTTTGAAACCTCTAAACCCCTTGAAACCTCTCTTCTTTGTCTCCCTCCACATAATCTGCTCTTTTGTCCATTTCCTTTGCGGCTGAGCCATCGCCGCGACCTCATTACAATCTCTGGTTTACATCTACTATATATAACTCCAATCCCCCTCAAACGTTACTTACGCCCTTTTGACTCTCGGCAGCTCGGCGCTCCGTGGAGAGGCTTTCTGTGGACACCGCCAGGCAGGACGAGATCAAGAGGGACAAGCAGAGCATCCCTAACGTGGCCTCCATCTTCTCTGTCCAACGCCGTAACAAAAATACACCACGACAACTTGTGAAGTCCTCGGATACAAAGGTGCAAAGGTTGAGCCCGAAGTCTTGCTTTCACTGCGGCTTCTCAGTCTGTAAACTCGTCTTAGCAGCGATAGCAAACAGTGAGGTTGTGGTAATATCTGTTTAGGAAACTGCCTGCTTATGAATAAAGGGAAGAATAAAGAATATACTATAATTGGTTTTGGCACACTTGAATTGTCAGTCGACCGGCCAAAAGTCACCACCTCAGGCTGTGTGTCTCAGATCTAGTGTAAACGTAACTCGTAAACGTCTCTCCTATGAGGTTTTCGCAAGTTTCCTTATGGCACAAGAGCAAAGTTTATGCGTGGAAGGGCAAAATGGGCACACGTTGTAAACATTTGTGTGTAAACTTCAAGTTCTAGAGAGTGTCTTTGTTCTGTTTTTGCCTTCTCCGTTCCGCTAACTGTAGTTGTAAACAGCAGGTTCAAAAACAGCAGCTTCGTTTGTCGAGTAAACAAGCTGACAAGGAAGTACGTCCACCAAATTTGCAATTTTGGCTCAAGCTGTAAGTCAACCGAACATCTAAAGGTCAATATGCTTGCAGGTTTGGTTGGCAGAACACAAAATATAGCAGTGGACGCTAGTATTAAGGAGTTACAACGTAGGAAAAGGCAAGTCGAGAATCGTGCGAGAAAGCTATGAAAAGGTTGCAGCGATAGCTTTTTGCTTCTATGTGCGTTCGATGCCCTTGCGCGAGTGTCTTTGCTCTGAATTTAGCTTGGCCCAACAAAACAAGACGAAAGAAGGTTTGGGCCCTATCCTAGCCGGGCAGCGCGGTTCTGCCCACAGAGAACGCATGAAAATGACAGGATTCATCCGTCAAGCAAAGCAATACAAGGCGCCAAAACGGAAATTTAGCTTCACATGAAACGCCTCGACTCAAGATTCCAACCAAGTCCCTTCTGTTAGCTTCTACATTGACTCCCTGAATGTGTAGCAATGTGCACCAGTGTGAGGGTAAAGATCACTTGGTTTGGCGTTTGTGAGTGCGCAAAGTGGCTGGTGTAAGGTATGGCTTTCGGTTATGGTTCAGCGTGCTCCACATTTAGCAAAATCGCGTGTTTGTAATCGACTCAAAGGAAGAATAACGCCAGCGAGGAGGTCAGTGGTGTCGAATAAAGGGTCTTTTCTGCTTATTCGCTGTGGCGTGTAAGTCAGCCACGCACGTCCATGGAAGAAACAAAACACAACTGGAAGATAAAAACAGGAGACGTGTAAGGAAGTTATCACAGCGCAAAAATCTGGAGAGTTAGCGGTTAGCCTGTATGTAGCGTTTAGCATTAGCAGCAGAAGGAGGGGTGGCTATAGCGCTAGACACTCGGAGAGGCCTGGAGATGTCGATAAAGCACTTTGAACCAATAATGCACTAGTTGTCTCCTCACGTTTATCACCGAGATTAGCAGCTACGCAGACACCGACAAGAAGACTATAGGTATAAATGTACACAAGCGCGTTTAGAATTTTTAAGAGAGAGTGGGAAGAGATGCGAGCTAGTTGCTAAAGCTAAAATGTAAAGAGATGGTTGTATAAAAGGTTTTTTGCTTCTGCTTTTGACACAGTCGGTTTGGCACCTGGTTTTGGTCAGAGATAAAAGGGTTTCAAGTCTTGTAGAAAAATGGGGAAGAGGTGAAAAATTGAGAAGCCACAGTTTGAAGTCCAACAGGAAAGAGGATCCAGGAGGCGTGCGATTGTTTAGGACCAGGTCCAGCTTCTGTCTTCAGCTCACACTGCAACAGAAGAACAAAGATGAGAAGGTTTAGATATCGCCTTAAAATCCATGTTCACTACGTCATAACAAGACGATCGTTCTCTCATTCTGACCCTTTTCACAATTCAACTCGCCAACAATTAAGCAAAGGTAAGTTTATTTGTATGGCACAGTTCATACACAAAGCAAGTCAAAATGCTCACGAATAGAGCACGATAGAGAAAATCACGGAAGCATTAAAATAATCACTAATAATTTGAGTACATTAAAAAAGAGTGAAGATACAATCCTTCAGTTTTATGCACACAAGTGGACCAGAGAGTGGAACCAGAGAGAGAGACCTAAGAGAGAGACCAGAGAGAGAGACTGGAGAGAGATCAGAAAGACCAGACAAATACCACAGAGATTCCAGTGAGAGAGACCAAAAATAGACTAAAGAGAGACTAGAGAGTGAGACCAGAGAGAGACTAGAGAGTGAGACCAGAGAGAGACTAGAGAGTGAGACCAGAGAGAGACTAGAGAGAGAGACCAGAGAGAGACTAGAGAGTGAGACCAGAGAGAGAGACCAGAGAGAGACTAGAGAGAGAGACCTGAGAGAGAGCAGAGAGAGACTAGAGAGAAACTAGAGAGAGAGACCAGAGAGTGAGAGCAGAGAGAGACTAGAGAGAGAGAACAGAGAGAGCGATCAGAAAAAGACTAGAGAGAGACCAGTGAGAGACCAATGAAAGAGAGAGAGAGACTAGAGAGTGACCAGAGAGAGAGAGACCACAGAGAAAGACTAGAGAGAGAGAACAGAGAGAGCGATCAGAAAAAGACTAGAGAAAGACCAGTGAAAGATACCAGAGAGAGAGACTAGAGGGAGAAACCAGAGATGGACTATATAGACTAGAACAAGACCAAAGAGAGACGAGAAAGAGAGACCAGAGGGAGTCCTGAGTCCCTGTGCTCCTCAGAGTCCTCCTTGGTTCATAAGGCACTGACACGTCACGGTGAAAGCCAGTGAGGAGTGTTCGCTGTGACAGATGCTCTCTTGTCTCCTTCGCTCCTCCTCGTCTCCTCGTCTTCTCCTCCATATGTTCGCGCTGCAGTATCACGCCTCTGTCTCCTCTCTGCACACTCTGCTGCCAACGGAATCACAAACTATAGCTGTCCCAGACTCACACAGGAACAGGACGGGCTTTTCTGTTTACCATGTTGATGCTTTTATGCAGAAGAAAGAGGAAAAACGGGCTTGAATAAATCTTGTAAATTGAGATAGAACAAATACTTTCAGGCTATATTGGTGTTTGTTTCAATTTCAATTAGCAAAATAGATAATCACTCTCTACTAAACATTGCCAGAATATGAGATATAGAGTCAAAGCAGACTTGTCCTGCATTTGTCTCCCATAATTTAGACTACTGTAACAGCTCAAAGTATTTTTGAATCTCTGCAGCTCAAGTCCTCACTAGAACCAGGATGTACTGTACCATCACATTAGACCTCGTCTCAGGTCTCTGCTTTCTGTGGCTCAGAGAAAAGACTTTAAATCTGCTCTATTTATGTACAAGTCTCTCCAGGGTGTGACATGTTAGTGCCATAAGAACCAACTCTGAGGAGCACAGGGACTGGCCTCCTGCTGGGACTCTGAGGAGCACAGAGTAACAGAGACTGAATAGAGTCCATAAACCACACAAGGACCACACAAGCTCAGGATTTATGTTCCTGTTCAGAGACAGAAACGCTCCCAAATGATTGGCCTATTATCAGCAGCTGCTGTGAGCAGAAGCAGAGAAAGAAGAGAGCTGCAAGATAGACTGTGTTAGCATCGAAGTCAGAATCTGAATATAGTTTAAAAAGTCCTTTGCAATTTTCAACATATACAGAAAAACTAATCCATGCCTAATTTTTCGCCTGACAACTGTAGCGCCCCTTGCTGGCAGCTTCCCTAAATCCTCTACAAAGAGCTTCCAGCTCGTTTAAAACACAGAAACAAATACTTTAACGGGCACCAAAAGGAGGAAACACAACACTTCCGTGTTAAAATCACTCCACTGGATTTCTGTTGAGTATAGGATTAAATGAACATACAAGGCCTTGAATGGAATGGCTCCCTCCTCCTCCAAGACACGTTAGTGTCAAACCCATAGACTGTAAATATAAACAGATGTAGTGACGCCCATTTCCTCTGTTGAACTGTACATTATATGTCACAAACATGGGCAGATTCAATATGGCCACGGGCAGCCCCTTCCCCGGGTAAATGTGAAAAACCGCATTTGCGCAGTTGTACGAGCCCCAATCATTTAACAAGTGCATTCAAAAGTTCACAGCGGCTAAACTAGAATGGTCCAAAAAAATACCCTCCCCTCAGCGTTGACAGCATCTGTAACGTAGTGTTATGCCAAGAGCCACTTTTGGACCAAGCTGTAAAGCACTTTTCCAGAGGAACAAAGGTGTCGTTAGAATGCACTGGATAATTATTCTTCCGGGTACAACACCACCGGCCTGGAGTGAGATTGCAACATGTCAGCGCACATGCTCATGAACCTCTTTGAGCCATACCAACCAAACTCTCGCTCTGCGCTCGCAAATCCCCAGACTTCTGCTGTGTCCTCATGAGTCAAAAAGTGTCACAGTCGGAGGCAGAGCGTTTAGCCCCAAGCTCCTACACTGAGGCTTTTCATAAATAGCACTTGAGTTTGTTCCAACAATCTTGTAAAAGTACAAGATTGTGAATCGCAAATCAGAAACAACACACCGTCTTCATCTTATTAGAAAACCTGTCATCCTTTGCATGGTTGTCAGTCATTTTTTGGTTTGATCTGGTTTGATCTGGTCTGGTCTGGTCTGGTCTGGTCTGGTCTGAACAACAGTAACCTGGACGAGGGCTGATCACTGCAGGGAAGAGAGGGGGAGTGAAGAACAGAGGACACAGCCTCCTCTTCCTCCCTCCCGCCGGTCCCTTTTATCTGCAACTCTGGACTGGTCTCCTGGATCTACAGCCTCAGTCCTGCATCTACAGCCTCAGTCCTGGATCTACAGCCTCAGTCCTGCATCTACAGCCTCAGTCCTGGATCTACAGCCTCAGTCCTGCATCTACAGCCTCAGTCCTGGATCTACAGCCTCAGTCCTGCATCTACAGCCTCAGTCCTGCATCTACAGCCTCAGTCCTGCATCTACAGCCTCAGTCCTGCATCTACAGCCTCAGTCCTGCTGATAGCCATAGATAGGGGACGAGGAGGACCA